CCCATGTTGGTCTCTGTGCTGACAGCTCAGAGCCTGGAGCCTGCTTCAGATTCTGTGTCTCCCTCTCTCTGCCCCTTTCCTGCTCATGCTCTCTCTTTCAAAATGAATAAACGTTAAGGGGAAAAAAAAATTATAAATAAATAAATAAATAAATCAATCAATCAATCAATCAATCAATCAATCACAGAGATGCTCTCACCCGAGAAGCTGGCAAAGAGCCGGCAAAACTGTGAGAATCTGTTTCGGTGCAGCCACTGCTGGGCGTCCTGGATCGAGGCCGATGGAAGCAGGTGCTGCAGGCAGAGAGAAAGGGCCTTGAAATGACCAGGCAGAGTCTACCCAGGGACACGCGGCCAGAGAGCCTGGCTGCAGACACTTACGTCATTGCCCAAGGGCAGGGTCTCCACTGGGTGGGTCGGAGAGCTGTTCCTGCAAAGGAAGAGAACAGGTCATAAGGTATGAGGATGCCTTCCAGGACACAGGAAGGTCCCCGGGCCAGGGCTCTCACCTCCCCTCAGGTATGGTGTTGGCTGCAAATGCAGCAGGGCGTCCAGAATTTCCCAGGTCAGAGAGTGTAGGCAGTAACCACCTGCACAGCCCCTCAAAATCCCTGACCAACCATTCAGGGTAGACATGATGTTCTGGCTGGCAACACAGCCGGGCCAGCGATAACCCCTCCACCCCAAGCTCAGGGTCTGTTTGCATCCGATTCTCTCCCACACCATTTCCACCCCAGCCTCAGCCCCAGGGAAGGGCACCAGCCCTAAAAGCCCCAAACACGACTCTGCACAGTGACTTGGTGCCTGGACAGCAGCAGCTAAACACTTCTCTCTGTGGAGACAGGAGAGGGCTGGGGGCTCCCCAGGGAGGCGTCCTACAGTGAACGACAGCCACCCCGGGACGTCCATCCACGAGAAAAACAGTCTCATCATTGGAGGCACACCGACCTCCCTTCAAGGGCTTGCTACAGAGAAGGCACAGACCTAAATATCTGGATTTTTTTTTTTTAATTTTTTTTTCAATGTTTATTTATTTTTGAGACAGAGGAAGATAGAGCATGAACAGGGGAGGGCCAGAGACAGAGGGAGACACAGAATCTGAAACAGGCTCCAGGCTCTGAGCTGTCAGCACAGAGCCCAACGAGGGGCTCTAACTCACAGACCGCAAGATCATGACCTGAGCCGAAGCCGGACACTTAACCGACTGAGCCACCCAGGCACCCCTAAATATCTGGATTTTTAAGTTGAGAGAAAAATACACTTTATTTTTTTTAAGTTTATTTATTTTGAGAGAGAGCACAAGCAGGGGAGGAGCAGAGAGAGAAAGGGAGAGAAAGGGAGAGAGAGAGAGGGAGAGAGAGAGAACGAACCCCAAGCAGGCTCCACATCGTCAGCGTGGAGCCTGACACAGGACTCGATCTCACAAACCATGAGATCACGACCTGAGTCAAAACCAAGAGTCGGACCCTTAAGTGACTGAGCCACCCAGGCACACCAAGAGAGAGATACATTTTAAAATGACCCTCCCAGAGGTGCCTGGGTGGCTCAGTTGGCTAAGCATCCATCTTCGGCTCAGGTTATGGTCTCGCGGTTCGCGAGTTCAAGCCCCCCGTCGGGCTCTGTACTAACAGCTTAGACCCAAGAGCCTGCTTCGAATTCTGTGTCTCCCTCTCTCTCTGCCCCTCCCCCATTTGCAGGCACGCGCGCGCTCTCTCTCTCTCTCTCTCAAAAATAAGCATTAAAACAATTTTTAATCATAAAATGATAAGTTTCAACTTGTGTGTACCTTATCACAGTAACAATGAAGAAAAGGCCCTTGTAGGGATGACCCTCAGACCAGTCATCGGTAAAAACAGCTACGCTTTGTCACGTGTCTTTGAGGCCCGGGGCACCTTACACACGTTCCCCTGACCCTGCATGGAATCCTGACTCCCTTGGTAGTGGGGAGAGCAAGGCTGAGGGAGGTTAAGGAACTGACCCCCCAAAAGGTGGGATTTAACACTCGGTCCGCCTGATTCTGAACATGAAGTCTTTTCTATGCCCCCCCAACCCCCCTCACCTTGTGAAATCAAGTTCATAGACACTCTTGTGTGACAAGCACAAGTTTTGAGGCATCCCAGGTTCCACGCCCACATCTCCCCCTGCCCCCAGGAACAGGATCAAGATGTGCACGGCCATCACAGGGCGCCGAGGGCCCTTCCTGTGCCACAAACCCCGGGAAAGGCCGGACCGACGCCCACCGGCCCCTGTACTACTGTCACCTTAGAGTCAGCGTGGCCTGTGCATTTGCAGAGCCGGGTGACCAGTAACGAGGCCACTTCTGGGTTACAAGCCCTGAAACCCGGGGCCAGGATCACCCTGGGCTGACCCTGCTACCCAGAGAACGTGCACAAGGATCACAGAGAGAACCAAGAAGGCCCCTCGCGGCCACTGCAGCCACCCAAACAGCTGCCTCCCAAGGCCCCATCTGTGTAGGGGGCCATTCTGCCCTGGAGGGCCCCTGAAGACCAACCTGCTTTTACCGGGGGAAGGCGTGGGCAGGCAGGTTGTGGGCTGTTGCCCCACAGATGGGTGTTTACAGACACATGTCCACGCACAGAAAGCTGTGCAAATATTACAAACACCTCTCCAAAACCCAAATCAATGCCAAGGTACTAAAGGAGGGAAAAGGCAGAGAAGAAGATCCAGAAAGGAGCCTATACCCACGATCACTCCATGGACTCTTAGAGGGAGAAAACAGCAGACGTACCCTTCGCCGAGGCCAAAGCTGTTTGGAGAGCCATTGTAGCTGGGAGACGGGGCGCTGTTCACCTGATAGGCCATGTCGGGCCACGGGGAGCACTGCAGAAAGAGCACAGGGCAGCGGTGACTCGGGGGCCATCGTACTCAGGAGGAACTTGGGCAGCAGCAGCCATTGAGGCCGGTGCATGCAACCACCGAGCCCTCAACACCTGGCCCACATTCTCCCGGGGCCCGTGTGAGCCAGCAAAGCATGGGTTACTTGGGCCACACAGAAGAAACCAAGTACGGCAGAGAAGACACCTGCCATTCAGTCATACCCAGAGCAAGCAAGGTGTGGCATGTGTCTCTCTGAGCTTCCCAGCAGCCACACCAGCGAGGGCAAGAAACATCATCCATCACCTGGGTCCACAAGGAGAGAGCCAGCTGCCCAGAGGCAGGTTTCCCAGGCACAGACAAATGTGGGTGAATGCGAGCAACAGGGAGCACTGGACCCAGGTAACTCCCAAACAAAAATCATCAGTAAAGCTCAGAACTAAAACCTGCACTATTTGAAACCAGAATCAGCCGACGGGCCCTGGAGAGCAGGAGGCACTTGCTCAATCTCCGGGGGCAGCCCCCCTTCACCATCATTCTGTGCGTGCTTAGTGTGGGTCAGGTGTCCTGCTAGGAGCTCAGGGAGACAAGCCACACGGAAGATGTGATCCTCGGCCTCCGAGGAACTTCTTGTGCAGAAGCCAAAAATGAACGTATGTAAGAATCGCCCAGAGAAAGCACAGACATACAGGTTTTGCCTGTTGGGGCAGCCAGCAGATCCAGTATTCACTTCTTCCCTTCCCAGTGAGGACACCTCTTTGGAGAGGGCCAATTTGAAGCGTTCCTGAAGATTTACTATCAGCCGCCGAACCACAGGTTGGCAAATATTTAACTCTGTGGTGAGCGTGGGTTGGAATTTGTTGGTGCTAAATCCGGGAGCCAAGGAGGAAAGCCGACAAACTGTCACCTCACAAGGTCACAGGCCAGGTGAGGGTTTTGACCAACCACACCGCTCTGACAAGGGCTTGGGGGGTTTCTGAAGCACCCCCAGACCTCTCCTCCCCTGGGGAAGTCAGGAGATAGCCCGGAGCAGAGAGGTTGAGGTTCAGCCTGGAAGGAAGAGGTGTCTGTAGATGCAGGGCAGTGGGAGCATGGAGGCCAACCCCGGATGGCATCACCCACAGGGGAAGGGATCGAGGCCTGGGGAGAACCCACCGGTCTGAGCCCTAATTCCTAAATGCAGGGCCTTGCACTGCTTTGCTGCCGAGAGTAAGGCAGGCTCTTCCTGCCCCAGGGCTCACTGGCCACAGTATCCCGAGTTAGATGAAACACCAGTACGTATCGGCCTGTGCCAAATTAGCTTCCAGACTACCTTGTTGCAGACAGCCTTCTGCCTATGGCTGAATACACGTGCTCACACACACACCCCATCAGCCAGGACCAGGACCGGCCACTGTTCTCTTAGATGCTCCGTAGCCGGGCCTCACCCTTGACATTGCCTTAACCCCACCATGGCCGGCGCTGGGCCTCATGCGTGTGTGGAGGGCCTTTCAAGTTATTCGGTGAACAGACACCCACTGGCTATACTGATTACAGAACACAGTGTAAAACAGCTGTTTAAACAAACAACAGAGCCCACCCAGGAAGAGGTGGCACCAGCGGTGACCTGTGACAGGAGGAAGGAGAGCCTGTGACAGCGAGGGTCTCAGACGTACCCTGGACAGAGAATGGCTGCAGCGGGTGTCAGGGTTAGGAGGAAACCCATTCCAACACCTGTCCAAACCACCAAGCAGCAAGCCCGCTGAGAAAGGAAGCCCGCGGGTCTTTCTACCACATGCAGAACCTCACGTGCACGGGGTCATCCAATGCTCCCTGTCTCAAATAGCCAGAGCCTGGAAAGAACCCGATGTCCTCCAGTAGGCCATCCAGCTACACAACGGAAGCCACGCCACTGGATAAAGTACTAGAATGCTCTTTGTGAACAGATGGGGAACAGACTCCCATAGGCTATTAAATACAGTTACAGAACAGCATGTCTGTGCGTGCTGTTGGTGCAAAACAAGCAGGTGTGGAGCAAATGTGTGTGAGCTGGCTTCCTTTGCAGAGAAAGCTGGGCCAGACACAGGTAGACCCAGAGACACCAGCTGCCCTTGGGGAAAGCTCAAGGCTAGGGCACCTTTGGGAGAGGTATTTTCTGAGGTACATACACTCTCTTCTACCTTTCAGATTTAGGGCCTTTACCGATCAAAAAAATAATAATAACCCGATTCTGGAAAGTGCAAATGGCAGCCCAGAGCTGGAAGCTATTTCTGGCCACCCGGCCTTATCGCATGAACACAGCTCTGGACCCAGGAACCTACCACAATCTAATGGGCACTTTCAAAAGAAGCATTCCTTCAAGGTGGGCAATTTCCCGAGAATCTAGACCAACAGTGCCATCGTCCTGCTCCCGGCAGAAAGGCATGGGCCCCGCACCGGGCACCCGGCCAGCTCACCTCTGTGAGAATGGTGGTCTCGTAGGACGGCTGGTACTTCTCCTTCTCTTGGGCAGTTCTCTTCTCCATCTTTTCCCGGTCGGTCTTCTGTTTCCGGTCAGCTCCCTTTGGCTGCAAGTGCAGAGCACAGAGGTCCAATTAGCCCAAAGTGGGCAGGGGGAGCTGTCAGAGAAAGACCCAGGGCTGAGCGACAGTCCCCAAGGCCTGCACACGACCCACCTCACCCAGGGCCCAGAAGCCCAGGCAGGATCTCTGCACAGGACAGCGTCTCCCTCGCCTCCCGGGCAGCAAGCACGCAGTCCTCTTCCTGGAGCCCTTGCGCTTCCCCACCCAAGGGAACTCACAGCCTGCCAGGGTCCTGCCACTTGGCTGCTCACGGGGAAGGTCAATGCCACTGGCCCATGGACAAACCCTTAGGAGCCACGGCAGATCCCACTGCACTCCCTGGGTTACCGGTGCGGGAAGTGTGGTCCACACCTGCAGGCTAGGAGCCCCTGGACACTCGTGAAGGCCTCCTGACCCCCAGCTCCTGGGACTATGCTGCAGCTCCCCACTCCCACGCCCCACCCACACAGGATGACACCCCCATCCTGACAGAGCCTCGCCTGGGCGCCAAGCACCCGTAAGCAACTTACAGAGGGGCCCAGGCCTCACAAGCTCCATCAGTTCTTTCATTTACAGGTAAGGAAACTGAGGCTCAAGTCACTTGTCTAATATGAAGAGGAACCTGTTTGGCTGTTTGGGGTCTTAAAAAAAAAAAAACAAAAAACTGAAGCAGAACTAAGTGTCGACCAGGTGAAGAGTCCAAGAGAGCACGCCCGGGTGTGTACCACCACCAGGCCGGCCACAGCGGCCCTGCCCGCGGGGGTGCTCTGGACATTCACAGCCTGGTTGGTGGCTTCAGACATCAAGACTCCAAGCAGCCCCAGAACAGAGCAGTCTCACTGCATACACAGTGGACTGTGCCTGGCGTGAAGCGAAATCCGCCTGCTCCCAAGCTCAATGGCACCTTCACAGACTCTCTATGCACCTTCCTCAGGCTATAGCTTTTGGCTCCCAGCTCAAGGGCATTTTAGGAAACAGCCCTCAGGGGGGATGTGATACCCATGTTAGATGGAAATGGGTTTGCAGGGAGTCAGTCACCTGGGGACAGGAACGACAGATCCGGTGTTCAGAGAAAGAGCTGGGCCTGCGGGACCCATACCCCGCTTTGTCTGCCTCCCGCTCCTGTCCCTAACAGGAGGGATTCTCCACTCAGTAGACATGGGCGAGCCTGCGTGTGGGGCTGGCACTCGGCCCAGCGAGGCCTGGGGGAGGTAGCTGGACAGAGAGGGGTCCTGCCTGTCTCTTCAGAGGCCGTGATGTACCCAGAGCCTCAGGGCATGGCTCCAACAAGCAGGAGGCTTCCCAGTGATGGGGGTGAGTAGGGGTGGAAGAATGACGGACAGGTTGGCAAGGCTCCGCCCGGTGCTTGCGCACACCTGCTTGAACTGCTTCTGTGATGGGGCTGGATGCATGGGGTGGCCACACCTCCTCAGGCATTCTGAGAAGCCAGTTTCAGGGGACAGGGGCCCCTACACCCCTGCAGGAGATGCCAAGACCTTTCTTGAGTCATTCAAAGAAGCTTCCAGACCAATTCCTCAATAATAGCCAGTGTATGGTCCAGGAGTGTGGTGGGCAGAGCCCTCGCCACTGAGCTTCTGCCTCAAGGTGTAGAAAGGGGAGCTGGTAGGGGGCGTAGGGAGGCCTAGGCGCTCCAGGGGGGCAGACACTGTCCCTTCTCTCCTGCTGCCCAGCACAGCCTCTGATCCCTAGGAACTCCACTGGATGCCACAGGACCTGAGGACAAGTACGGCTAGAAGGACCACAAATGTGGTCTGTATATGACAAGGACAGAGGGATGACTGGGGACAGGCAAAGACCTCCAGCAGCACAGCTGTGGAGCTGTCCACCGGACCCAGAACTGTGAGATCCTAGAGCAGGCAATAAGACCAGAGGCCGCGGCACCCGGTGCACCAGTGGACAAGGTCAGCAGAAGCGTGTTCTCCAGAGACAGCCACGTCCTGATCCCCAGAGCCGACAGGCTGTCGCCTTATGTGGCAAAAGGGGTAAGGCTGCATGTGAAGTTAACAGAGCCAGCAGTGTAAGATGCAAACAGGAAGGTTATCCTGTATCATCCCAGGGGGTCCAATGTAACCACAGGGCCGCATAAGTGGGCAAGGAAGGGAGGAGAGGAGGTTGGAGAGGGGTGGCGAGAAGGGCCCGGCCACTCTCGCTCGCTCTGAAGACAGGTGGACAAGTCACAGGCCAAGGAAGGCAGAGACCTCTAGAAGCTGGAAAAGGTACGGAAAGGGATTTCTCCTCCCTTGGAGCCTCCGGAAAGGAATTGAGCCCAGGGAGACCCTTTCAGACTTCGGGCCTCCAGCATTGGGAGATCGTGAATGTGTGTGGCTTTAAGCCCCTAAACGTATGGTAATTTGTTACAGCAGCAATAGGCAACCGAAAGAGTGGGTTTGATTTCAAGGAGTCCCGATCCTGAAGCAGGGTTGCGAAGGGTGCTACCGCGGCATCGCTAACTGACCAAGGTGTCCCAATCCACACGGCCCGCCCGCCCTCGCCCCTGGGGGTGCCACAGGCTCCGTCGTGACCCTGCATCTCCCCAGGCCACACAGGACCTTCAGCTGCGTCACCGGCCACGAATCATCGTTGGGAAGTATCGGTCCCGACCGAGGAGATGAAAAGTAGTAACGGGCAACTGCAGGGGGTGAGCAAGGAAGGACAAGGGAGGAGGTACCTCCAAAAACATTTCTTTCTCTGACAGGAGGCCACTGCAGACAGCGACATGGCCTCGGGCCCTCGGTAAGAACATCTGTGGCCAGGATTCCTGCAAGGGGCCTCCTGGCTTGAGTTTAAGGAGAATCGAACTACGGAATCTGTGGCCAGCTACAAAGTGCATGGGAGGAAAACAAAAACCTAAAAACGTTCAAGTCCAGACATGCTTACAAAGTAGAGCTGGGCACGGCCATCTGTGGTGACGGGAGACAGAAGGTGCCACATGCAGAAGGACGCCCGCAGCGGCCAGGCCCGTCACCCCAAGACATACTGCTCGTGCTCTTCAGGAATCCAGGAGGGAGCCCCGGGCTACAGGGACGCCGAGCCCCCTGCTGGGCCTCCAGGGGGACTGCACAGGTCAACGTGCTGGTGTCACTGTCCAGCGCAGGCAGGGACCCGTGGGCACGTGTGACCCCGGGCGGAACGTGGCAAGGATGTCCTACCTTGAACACCTTGATCTGGCAGCTGGCCGAGTGCAAGTGCTCTGTGTATTCCCCATTGTCGTTCTGCTTAAATGTGTCAATCTGCACTCGGAAAGGCACCCCCTTCTCACCCCCGTGCTTCCTCGGGGTGAATTCTGTGCTGATACAGTGCACCTGGAAGGGGAAACGTGGGCAAGAAGCAAGAAGAGGGACCGGCCCTGGGCTCCGCAAGTGCCCCTGGCCAAATGAAGGTTTCCATCCTGCCTAGTCAGGTGCAGATCTGTGTCAGCCTCCCCGCTCTCCCCAGGCCAATGGCCCTCCGTCCCGCTTTATAAAGGACATGCCCTCCCACCTTTGTCCCTTGACCTCGGGGGCCCTGCCTGACCAGCGAAGTCCTTGCCATTGCTCAGGCCCATGGACCCCAGTAGCCCCACCCTCACCTCTCTCCCCAGGCAGACCCCACAGACTGCAGAGCAGGTGGAACCACAGCTAAGCCCCCAGTGGCCCTGGTGTCCAGGTTCCTGGGGCCAGGCCAGAAGCATGACCAGGGGGCTGGAACCATCTCTGTGTTTCTGCTAAGTACCTACCACACTCAATGTATATTTATTATTTTAACACTATAATACTATAATAATGTATTACTGTGGCAATACAACACTATTGTAATAGTGACTTTAAAATACAGTAAGAGGGGTGCCTGGGTGGCTCAGTCAGTTAAGCAACCAACTGGGTTTCAGCTCAGGTCATGATCTCATGGTTCATGGGATTGAGCCCCCTTTCTCCCTCTCTCTGCCCTTCTGCTGCATGCATGCACACTCTCTCTCTCTCTCCAAATAAAAAAAACTTTAAAAAAATAAATTAAATAAAGTAAGAATATTGTAATTATGTTTTAAAAAAAAGTCACAACTTTTACTGAGCAATTACTATGGACCAGGTACTGCAGTAATGACTTTATGCTCATTGTCCGATTTGTAAGACAGGTGGAAAAACAAAGAGGCTCAGAAAGGGACATATAGTGAGTGAGACAGCCTGTGCCAGCCCAGAAGCACAGCGGCCCTGCCATGCCCTTGAATGCATACCAGGTGCTTGACCACTAGATAATTTAATCTTAGAAACTATCATGGAAAAAAATCTTATTTCATATTCTGTTTGCCAAGACATGCTTATTTTGTAGCAAGCTTATATATTGATAAGCAAACCCCACCCAGGATTCTACAACATGCCAAGTCCTTTTCCAGCCCCAGGGACCAGCTAGCTCTGTGCACGGGCAACACTCCTGCACCCCCTCCCCTTCGGGGTATGTCCCTGCAAAAGAGGACAGGAGCCCAGCAGGGCCCTGCAGGTGGACTGTTCTGAGGAACTACACGTGGGCCCCGAGACTCCTGGCTTCCCCAGAGGACAACCGCTCCCCCGCCTACCTGAATGAATGCAGAGGCTCTCTTCGAAGGCTCCCACAGAAACTCGACAGCGTTCAGCTGGGTCGGGCTGGCCCTGGGGTCCAAGATACCAACAGACAGTGGAATATCTGCACACACATACACATACACAAAAGTGCAAGTGTCAGCCACTCCCAAGTATTTAGGGAAGGACTCTCATTACAGGTCCAAATGCCTTAACCACCATTTGAAATGCCAAAAGTTCTGAAAAGTACGTTTTGCGTGACCCATTTGGCAGAAAGCCCGACTTGAAGTGCCACGAAGCTATTTAGAGTCTTTGTCCCATTTCGTGTGACCAGTCATTCTATTGTGCTGCAGAAATATCAGTGCGCTTGATTGCCTGTTGGAGGCATTCCGTGCAGCTTGGGGGTCTACGCACCCTGGTGTCATTCTAAGTTCTAAATTCCAAAACCCAAATGGCTGCCAGGGTTATAGATAAAAGACCCCGGGATCCGTGCCTAAGACTCCAAAATTCAGTTTCTGCTGCCCGTCTCCGTGATGCCCAAGCTTCCCTCCATCACAGATCACAATCCTTTAAGGCAGGACCCTCTGCAAAGCCTCCGGGCAATCCCCGACTACAGGCCTTCTCATGCCACTGAAAGGGGAAGTCCCCGAGGGCAGGCCTGAGGACACGGTCACCTGTGCCAGTTCCCACAGCATTCTGCCCAAGGCAATAGCGCACTAAAGTGTCCCCCACAGGCATGAGTCCGATAGCATCCAGGAAGAACCCCAATGTGCCTGGAGTGCCTTGGGCCCCTCGTAGCCCAAGGGACTCACCGATGTCCAGGATCCGGTCCCCGGGCCTGCTCCACCGCCATCCTTCCAGCTGCTGGTGCTCCGTGTACTGCAGCCGGCGGTCGTGGAAAACCACTCGGATAATGCTCTGGAGGAGGGGAGGCCGGGAGGGGACAGCCAGGTGTGAGGCCAACAAGGACCCAAGAGGAAGCACCTACCAGGGCAAACCTCCTACCCTTCAAGACCAAGGCCCCTCCTGCTGGAGCCTCCCTTCCCTGCTCGCAAGCTCTGCGTGCTTCTCCCCGCTCAGAACCCCAATAACACAGTGAAAATGATGGCGACCCCTTTTTCCAGGATTACTAAGTGCTTCACGTGCATATATACCTTTTTGTGCAGATGAGCTAACAACAGCTCAGGGAAGTTCAGTAAGTGGCAAAGCCTGGCTCCAACCTGAGTCTGCCCAACCCAGAGCCCGTTCGATCAGCCCAGGACACTCTGGTCCTCAGTGCCACCGGCTTGCCCCTGGCCCCTGAGACAACATGCTCCAGGGAACAGGAACCCATTCCCACTCCGGAGCTTTCCCCAAACCTCCCGGCCACTCCTGAGCCCCATCCTCGGCAAGCCCAGGTTCCCAGACCCCAATCAACCCCTGGGGAGGGAGGGTGGCCCCACAGCCTTGCCTTGACATATTTCGTGTTCAGATCTTGAAAGTCTCCCAGCTTCCGATTCTCCAGCAGCCTGATTTCATAAGACTGACCTAGAGGGGGGTTAACAATACATTTTCCATTTCTGAGTGCTTTCAAATCTGGGGTTCACCCAGATAGAGGCCTTCTTGACCTCCTGAGTGGCCACACAGGCCTTATGGCCCCAGGCGACAAAGCAGAGGCATCAGTCCGTGGCCAACTTAGATGGACTCTCTGGACTGCACACCCCAGCTTGTCCATTCAGCCTGGTTGCACCTAGGGCACCCCAAGTAGCACACCATGTGTACCCCAAGACACAGCACTTCCACAATTTTCAAAGAAACAGAATTCAACAAAATGGAGTTAACATTAAATTTACAGAACTTAACATTTCTTCATAAAGGACGCCCCCCCCTCCAATTCACTTGGATGGAGAACATAATCACTCACCCAAATCCACATTACAGTAAATAACTGACCATACCGTTCCCGAGAGCAGGTTAAAGGAACGAGTAAAAGCCTGTTAAACATTGTCTTTAATTGCAGAATGAAAAGCATTTTCCCAAGTTAAAAGAATTTCATGTATTTAAAGGGTGTGGGGATTCCAACCAGCACAAGCTGGTTAAAGAACATACGTGGAGAAAAGACTCATCCACAGTAACAGAGAGAACTTGCATCTATGAATCGCATCTACGAATAACCTGAAGGAAACTATACACGTTTTATTAGGAAATAATATACAGTCTGAATAAATAGGACATGCCATATTCGTTGACAGGAAGACCATGTATCAAATGATGTCAATTCATCCCAAAGTAAATAAGCGTAACCACAACTCTAAAACACCCTAATATATTTCACAACTAATAAAGGATGTTTTACAAATTAGCAGAGAATAAATGATTCGATGATTGGAACTGGTAAATCCGATTGGCGGTTTGATTTTTTTTTTTT